GTGCTTGCTCGTGTTTGTCTCTCTCTAACCTCCACCAGCGGGCGCCCTCTCTTTATCTCGCTATGATTGGTCTGCCTTTCATGCAACGTGTTTGTGTCGTCGTTGGTCGTTCTTGCCTAATCCTCTACGACGCGCGTTTTTTTTTATGCTCCGGCCCTATGAATGTTCTCTGTCCATAAACGTGCCTTGTGTTTCTCTGTCTGTCTGCCTAACGCCTCTACACGCCGTTTTTTTTACTCGGCTAGGAATGTCTCTCTGTCACTAAACGGCTTGTTGCTTTCTCTGTCTGTCTTGCTAACTTACCCACGCGGCGGCGTTTACGATGCATTCCTTGCCGTGTTCAGCGCGTCCGCTGCTGTCGATAAACGTGCCAGGTGATGTTTGGGCCTCCAATTTGCTAGACCTCCATACGCGCTTCAGGATGGTAACTGGACGGCATTCGGCCTCGTCGATGGATTGCGTGTACGCTTGGAGACGAACACCAGCACGGCCCGTTTCTCCTGGCCTCCTATCCACCAACGACTCGCTACTGCCTCCGACCCGCCGCCCGTACGATCTGCGTGGCGCCTCTGTGGTGAGGTCGACGCGAACGAGACGAAGACGGCGGAGACGGTCGTCCATGAGCCGTGTAGCATGCAGGAATGCATCCGTGAGTGTGGCGAGAGAGGGGAGGAGAAGAGAGGAGGAGGAGGAAGAGGGGAGGAGAGGTGGGGAAGAGGATGATGAAGTAAGTGGTGAGGTAGAAAGGAGGAGGAGGAGGAGACGGAGGAGGCGGAGACGTCGCTCATGGAGCGCTGGTAGCATGGCAGGAATGCATCCGTGAGTGCGGAGAAGGAGGAGGAGAAGAAGTGGAGAAGAGGGAAGGAGAGGTGGAGAAGAGGATGAGGGAGGGGGTAGTGAGGTAGAGAGGGGGAAGGAGGAGACGAGGAGGCGGAGACGGTCGTGCACGAGCCGTCGCAACATGCAAGCGAATTGCATCCGCTGACTGCCGGAGAAGGCGGAGGAGCCGAGTGAGGAGGAGGGAAGAGGCGGACGAGCAGGTTGGAAGAGATCGAGGATGGATGTGCGCTGAGTAGACGAGGGGGAGGAGGAGGAGACGGAGGAGGCAGAGACGGCTCGTCACGAGCCGTGGTAACTGCAGGAATGCATCATGAGTGCCGCGAGGGAGGGGAGGCAGAACAGAGGAGGGAGGAGAAGAGGCGAGGAGAGGTGGAAAGAGGATGGGGAGCGAGGTGCTGAAGCCGTAGAGAGGGGGAGAGGCAGGAGGCGGCAGACGCCGTCGTCACCGAGCCGTGCTAACATGCCAGAATGCATCCGGAGTGCGGAGAATGAGGAGAGGAGGAGAGGAGTGGAGAAGAGGGGAGGAGAGGTGGGGAAGAGGATGAAGGAGGAGGTGGTGAGGTAGAGAGGGGGAGGAGGAGGAGGCGGAGACGGTTCGTCCACGCAGCCGTGTAACCATGCAGGAATGCAATCCGTGAGCCGTGCGGAGAAGCGAGAGGAGCGAGAAAGAGAGGAGGAGGTAGGAGTGGAAGAGGCGGGTAGAGATCTGAGGAGGAGGTGGTGAGGTAGAGAGGGGAGGAGGAGAGACGCGAGGGAGCACGAGACGCGTCGTTCACGAGCCGTGTAACATGCAGGAATGCATCCGGCTGGAGTCGGGAGAGAAGGGGCAGGAGGCAGGCTACGCTGCGCTGAAAAGAGGGGATGAGGAATGAGGAGGAAGGTGCGTGAGGTACTAGAGAGTGGGAGCGAGGAGCGAGGAGGCGGACGCGTGCCTTCACGAGCCCGCTGCAACATGCAGGAATGCATTCCGTGGAGGCGCGAAGCAAGGAGGAGGACGGCAGAAGAGAGGAGGAGGCAGGAGAAAGAGGGGAGGAGACGTGGGGAAGAGCGTGAAGGGAAGTAGGCAGGAGAGTAGGGGGAGTAGAAGAGGTGAGAAAGAAAGGAGGATGAGGAGAGGAGCAGAGTAGGAGGAATGGCGTTGGGAAAATGTCGCGCGTGGCCTGATATCATAGTGTATGAAGGATGAGCTACCAATTATTAGTACTAGCTTAGTCAACGTGGTGGACTAAGCTATTGACCGACCACACCACATCTGGTCAGTGTCAAAACTGACTAATTGGCATTCAGTTGGCTTTCGAGAAAGCTCCCCCTAGCACGGAGGCGAAACGAAAGCAGGTACGTTTCCATATTCTTTCACGGTTGCAGTAACAATAACCCTGTTAGATCATATTGTTCTACCAAACGAATAAACTTAGTTTAATTGCAGATTGTTAATCTTATTTCATTTATATACGTTGTTTCTCTTACCGTATTTCTTCCGCTCGTCTTTCCAATTAGCCTACACCACCTACCTCATCTCTCTACTCTCTCTCTCTCTCTCTCTCCCTCTCCTCTCTCTCTCTCCTCTCTCTCTCTCTCTCTCCTCTCTCTCTCTCTCTCCTCTCTTCTCTTCTCTCTCTCTCGCCTCCTCTCGTCTCTCTCTCTCTCTCTCTACGTCCTCTCTCATCTGCTCTCTCTACTCTCTCTCTCTCTTCGTCATCTCTCTCTCTTCTCTCTCCGTGGCTCTCTCTCTCTCTGCTCCTCTCTCTCTCTCTTTCGGCTCTCTCTCTCTTTGCTCTCCCTCTCTCGCTCTCTCTCTCTCATTCTCTCTCTCCTCTCTCTCTTCCTCTCTCTCTCTCTCCTCTCTCTCTCTCTCCTTCTCTCTCTTTCTCTCTCTTTCTCCCTTCTCGCTCTCCTCTCTTCTCTCTCTCTCGTCTCTCCTCTCTACTTTCTCTCTCTCTCTCTCTTCTGCTGCTCTCTCTCTTTCTCTCTCCCTCTCTCTCTCTCTCTCTCTCTCTCTCTCTCGTTTCTTGTCTCTCTCTCTTTCTTTCTCTCTCTCTTTCTCTCTCTCTTTCTCTCTCTCTCTCTCTCTCTCTTTCTCTCTTTCTCTCTCTACCTTCCATATAATCTCTCGCTGTCTTTCCATTAGCTACGACCACAGAGGAACCGACGACCGAGGCAACAACTGAAGCGACCACTCAACCAACCACCGAAGCGACCACTCAACCAACCACCGAACTCACTACACAGCTCTCGACCGAACCTGACGTCACCACAGAGCCGACGACCGGTATAGCAGTGGCGACACCTGTCGTCGACGCGGCGGCGGAGACAGGCGTGCTGCTCGTGACGTCACTACAAATCCGCCCTCCGCGAGGTTCCACCGCGGTCATGGGCATCGCATGTGAATCCAGCGCCATCGTGCGGCCGCGCGGGAAACTATTAACGCCTTCTCTCGTCTGTCAGCTATTCCTGTGTGTGCGGTTGCTCACGTTCTGTACATCCACGCACGAGCCATCTACTGTTGCACTACGAAGAAATGTATGAGTCGTCTAGTGTTGTTAACTGTCGCAAGTGTATTTTCTACTATTGCCTCCGTCTATCTACAACATTTTTATTGCTGTCTATATTTATCCATATGCTTTAAATTTCTGCCTACATCTATGTATATGTATATTGTTTCTACTCTTGCCAATTCATAACATTTCATCTCTTCCCTTTACCTATTTATGAACTTAGAAGTCTTGCCTACGCATATTTCTAAACTTTGAATTCCTTCTACACCTATTTCTAAACTCTGATGAAGTTTTGCCTACACAAATTTATAAACTATCAATTCTCCTCCTACACCTATTTATGAACTTTAATAAAGTTTTGCCTACACAAATTTATAAACTTTGAATACTTTCTACGACAATTTATGAACTTTGATGAAGTTTTGCCTACACAAATTTATAAACTTTCAATAATCCTCCTACACCTATTTATAAACTTTCAATTCCTCCTTACGCATATCTAGATAAATTTTCAATACTTTTCTACATATATTTATAATATTGCTAGTCTTGCCAACACTGTCTCATAAAGTTGGCATTATTGTCTACGCTTAAAGGGACTACGTCACGAATTTTCCATGGTAAAATTTGTACAAAAAAATTGCCATTTTTTAAATTAAAAGTAAGAACTAACGTTACTTATATTCTCAAACTCTCACCTGATAAAAATGTTTTTACGTTGGTTAAATTTGCAAAAATCTAGACGATTTGGTAATTTCTGTTTTTCTTACACTATTCCCCCAGTACTGTTCAGATACTGGCGTCTCTCTGTTTTTCACCGGCAAATTAGGGCATATAAAGAAGGTATATAAGCATGAAAAGTAAACAGAAACACTAATTGTATTTTCATACATTTTATTTTGTACAAATAACACACAAATATACTACTTGATTTTATTAAGAGTTGTTAGTGTGGTTAGAGTTATCAAGAGCTAATAATACCTTAAGTATTATTAAGAGTTGTTAGTGTGGTTAGAGTTACAAGATTGTTATTGAAAGCTAATAGTCCCATAACGTATTACTAGTTATTATAGTTATTCACACAGGTAGGCCCTATGCTGCTATACATATAGCACAAGGACACGTTGTCAGAAACTAAATTAGTCTTAACATTAGTCTTAACACTAACATTTTCTTGTAGACCGTTGACAGCGCTTTGTTTCGTATTGTTATGAGGAAATCTGCTACGATTTTCCATTCAGGTAACTTTTTTTTTGCGTTTCTGTCGACGGTCTAAGAGAAAAAGTTAATGTTAAGACTAATGTTAAGACTAATCTTGTTTCTGACAACGGGCCCAAGGTATATACATGTGTGAGTAGAAACGATATACACCAGGTAGATACTAGTTATTCACACAGGTGAAGTGGTAACACGGCTACACACAGTGCAGGTATATATTTATATGTATGAGTAGGAATAATATACACTAGATAGGATAGGAATAGGCGTGTGATCACAGCGGAATAGAGCATAGGCAGAGACAGGTGTTAGTATGGACGATAGGTAGGCAAGCTTAACACTCGTACACAGCTACACACAGAACAAGTATAGACAGGAATAAGTAGCGAAGATAGACACTATAAGTATGCAAAGCGTACACAGGCAGGTAAAGCGGTATCACGGCTACACACAAAACATTTGCACGTATATTAGGGTACGAGTAGGCATGATCAGGGAGTCTATAATAGGACTATAATAGACCTATTATAGACTCTCTGGCATGATATACACTGCGTCTAGGTGGTGTGGATGTGAAACAGCTACATACAGCATAGGTATATATAGGTGAAAGATATACATTCGGTAAGAGAGGTAGCCAGCCCTCACACGCCAATTATTTTGTCTGAAAATACGTCTTCAAGGTTTACAGCAAAACTCTTATCTTCGCTCTCTCACTCGCTTCACTCATGGCTTCAAGGTGACTTTGAGTTCATCGGTTACTATGGTAACCACAGCAGCCCGAGCGACATCTGGTGGGTGGAGCTGACAGATGAGACGGCACCAGAGAGCACACCTGCGGTTGTTTACCAGCCTGGTCGCCTAGCAACCTACGTCAGCTATATCTCGCATCCCATAGGTATATACACGCCATTTATTTCTCTCATCCTATATAGCTACTATATACACATCTCGTATCTATTCAGTAAATAATTCAACGACTTCTGTAATCTTTTGGCTATATTATACTATAGGCTGAGGCGTGTGTTAGAATAGCCTAGCGAGGTGGAATCTATTCAGTCTTTCATTGTTGTCTGTGTTGTTGTTGTTTGCTGTGTTCTCGTAAGCTGAGACGTATGTTATAGTATATATAAGTATAGCATGCTGATATGAAATCTCATTAGTCTTCCGTTGATGTGAGAATATTTACCGTTGTCATTTTCTCTCGGCTATGTATAGTTACGATCATAAACGTGCGGACACTTGTCTAGCTATTCAGAATTTTTCGTTGTAAGCGTCGCTGACGGTCAATTTTATTTAAGTTTTTTTTATTATTATCATTAAAAACGTGCTTGTGTTTGTCTATCTTGCTAACGTCCACCTTGCGGCCTTTTATCTCGGCTGTGATTGGTCGCTTTCATGAACGTGTTTGTGCTTGTGTTTGTCTCTCTTGCTAACCTCCACCACGCGGCCTTTTATCTCGGCTGTGATTGGTCGCTTTCATGAACGTGTTTGTGCTTGTGTTTGTCTCTCTTGCTAACCTCCACCACGCGGCCTTTTATCTCGGCTGTGATTGGTCGCTTTCATGAACGTGTTTGTGCTTGTGTTTGTCTCTCTTGCTAACCTCCACCACGCGGCCTTTTATCTCGGCTGTGATTGGTCGCTTTCATGAACGTGTTTGTGCTTGTGTTTGTCTCTCTTGCTAACCTCCACCACGCGGTTTTTTATCTCGGCTATGATTGGTCGCTTTCATGAACGTGTTTGTGTTTGTTTTTGTCGTTCTTGCTAACCTCTACCACGCGGTTTTTTTTATCTCGGCTATGAATGTTCTCTGTCATAAACGTGCTTGTGTTTCT